ATGTAAAGTTCTTGTGGAGACACATTGATAACAACGTTCACCGTTCAATCTCTTATGCTCTGACAGAGAATAGTGATTACTAGGACAATTCGACGTCTGGATGAGCCCTGAATTACATAATCAATGTCCTTTGAGCTGAATCCTAATTGAGTCCTGATTACATCCACAAGATCAGCAACAATGTATCATTGTTCGACTGGATATAAACTTTTTCTTTGCTGCGCAGCGAAACTTATCTTGCACTGTGATTGAACAGTAGTAGCGATTATGAAAAATCATGTTAGGCATATAGACCCTCTTATTTGCGTAGTTTGGATGTTTTTTTTTAATTGTTGGTTACTTTTAATTTGATATCATAAACGATAGTCAACACCGTATAAGTCTTACTAATAGTAAACAATAGGTCCGCATGGTGTGAAACACTGGACTGGTAGAAACATATTTTGTCTTTGTGGTGGTACAAGCAGTTGCCTCTGTCCAGCAAATGACGGATGAATAAATGGCACAAAGTTAGTCTGCGGTGTTAATGCAAGTGGATATATTGAGAAGATTCCTGCTTGATTGTCCACAGGTGTTCCTAACCCATAATACGACAATTTTGTTGGCGGGTTTCTAGTTCTTCTTGGGCGTTCTCGCTCAGGAGGTGGACTAGCAGAAACTGATTGATCAGGTAACCGCATTTCACTGTCTGGTACTTTCCCTTGTCTGCCCTGATTACTCTCAGCCATGGTGGTGGGCCCCTGTCGCACATCCCTGTGGCTATCCCTGTCCTGGAGCTGTGATGTATCACCTTCATTGTTCCCTATCAACTCTCTATTCAATGGTTCCTCTAAATAATGGCTCGCTTGTTCCAACTGATTTGGTGAAAATGTTGGAAATTGTTCCTCGTCATCGTCTTGGATGTTGACCTCGGGGAATGACGATTCTGGGCTTTTAGATGGCACGTGTTCGATCTCTGCAGCATTATTTGCTTTTCTTTTTGTGTGACCTTTTCTTGTGTCCTGTGGGGTTCCTACATGGGGAAGGAAGGGGCAAGGCATTAAAAGGTTTCTGTGCAGAACCCTTGTCCTTCCATCTTGATTTTCTGGACGCACCTCATAAACAGCAGCATTGGGACCTTTTCTGTTTAGAACGATATAAATCTTTTCCTCCCAAAATGAACGCAACTTTCCAGGGCCTCCTCGTTCTATTACGTTTTTTACCAGTACTCGGTCCCCAGGCTTTAGGTCAGAGCTTCTTGCTTTTCTGTTATATTCCTCCAGACCATGTGCTGCACAATGTCCAGTTTTCTCTGCAGCAATACGGTAAGCATCTGTCATCGCATTCTTCCATTGCTTAAGGTATTCTGGATATCCTTTCACTGCTGTTACTTTAGTATTTCCGAAAATAATGTCAATAGGTAATCGTGGCTTTCTACCAAATAAAAGCTCAAAGGGTGAGAAACCTGTACTATCGTGACGTGTGCAATTGTATGCGAATGTCATTTTATTCACATGATCCTTCCAGCGTGCTTTTTTTTGTTCGCTCATTGATCTCAACATGGCTAAGAGAGTTTGGTTGAATCTTTCTCATTGCGCATTACCCATTGGGTGGTAGGGTGTGGTTCTTGAACGAGCAATTCCTGTCAACTGTTCCAAGTGGTGGAACAGATCATTTTCGAACTCTCGACCTTGATCGTGGTGGATTCGTTGAGGGAAACCAAATCGGAGTATAAAGTCATTAAATATTTTGTCAGCAGCAGTTTTCGCAGATTTGTTCGTGGTAGGGTAAGCTTGGGCATAACGGGTAAAATGATCCACAACAACTAAAAGATATTCATACCCCCCTGTACCTCTTTCTAAGTGGACAAAGTCAATTGATATAAGCTCAAACGGTTGACTTGTGACTATGCTTTGAGCAGGGGCACGTGGTGGTAGTGATGGCTTTTTCTGTTGTAAGCATCTACAAACTTTGGTTATGTAATGTTCGATGTCTCTCGTCATGTGCGGCCAATAGAAACGATCTCGTGCTAGCTCTGTCACCCTTTCAGCACCCAAGTGTCCCATCTCATCATGAAGATGGCGGAGTACCAAAGAATGTTATCTTTTTGGCAAAACCAACTGCAACCTGTTGGCTGTCTTTCGGTACAAGGCTCTGTCTTTTCCCAGTATCAGCTTGTTCCATTCATGCATTAGTGTTTTTACCTCAGCTGATTCACCATGTCGATCTTGAAACGAAGGCCTAACTGGCTGTTCTTTATAAGCTAAGACACGGGCAACATCAGGGTCCTCCTTCTGCGCTTGTAAGATGTTCTGCAGAGGCAGGGGAGTGTGTTTTTCCATTTTGTTTGCATCTAATAGTTGGGTAGTATTTTGGTTAAGTGAAACTGCATGGATCCAATACACATTACCTTGATGCCTGGTGGTAACTGCACTGATAGTTGCTGCAAAATCCACCTGTGATGTTTCTTGTGTGCATTCTTCCATGAACTTCTCAATGTTTGTTGGCATTCTTGAAAAGAAGTCTGCATCAACATTCGCTTTACCCGGTCGGTACTTGATGGTGAATTCAAAATCTGCCAATGAAGCTATCCATCTATACCCTGTAGAATTTAACTTTGCTGTACTCATAACATATGTTAAAGGGTTGTTATCAGTATATATTGTGAATTTTGGAGCGTAAAACAAGTAGTCGCGGAACTGTTCAGTTACAGCCCACTTTAATGCTAGGAACTCCAGTTTCCCGGAATGTAAATGGTACTTTCTTTCAGCTGGAGATAGCGTCCGAGAGGCATAACCTATCACTCTCATTTTCCCCTGCTGTTTTTGGTACAAGACTGCACCAAGTCCATCTTGTGATGCGTCTGTATGAAGTACAAATGGGATGCTAAAATCTGGATAGGCCATGATAGGAGGGTTGGTAAGACAGCTTATAAGATAATTGAGAGCTTTTTGATGCGGCTCTAGCCAGACAATTGACGCACGCGATGATGCTTGACCTCCTTTCCCACGTGTGTCTTTTTTCTTTACTTTGGAAGTGCATGGCTGCTCCACCTTGAGTAAGTCATAAATGGGTTTTGCTACTCTGGAAAAGTTTTCAATATATCGACGGTAGTAACCCAGTAGACCTGTCAAATGACGAACTTCACCAATAGTCTTTGGTGTGTAGTCACGTAACTTGAGAATTGCTTTTGTGCTGTCTGGATCTATGCGATAACCATCTTCAGACACGATTCGACCTAAATATACAACTTCTTTCTTAAACATGTCACATTTTTCAGCTTTCAGCTTGATACCATTTTCTTTCAATCGTCGTAGAACCTTTCTTACATGCTCCACGTGCTCGTTGAATGACTTTGAGTATACAATGACGTCATCAAGATATGGTGCACAACATTCGTCTCTAAATTCCCCTAAACAGCTCTCCATATAACGTTGAAATTCTGCTGGAGCGTTTTTGAGGCCCATGGGAAGTCTTATCCATTCATAGAGACCCCAGGGTGTCACAAAAGCCGTTAAATGGCGACTTTCTGGGTCCATAAAGCCTTGATGATATGCTTTCCCTTGATCTATAGTGGAGAACCATTTGTTTCCGGATAAACTGTCCAACGTGTCCTGAATTCTGGGTATTGGATGACGGTCTGCTGTTGTTTTATCATTTAGTTCTCTGTAGTCAATACAGAGCCTCATTGAGCCATCTTTTTTTCGGACAATCACACAACAGCTACTATATGGCGATTTTGATTTCTCGATGAACTTGCGATTCAGGAGATCCTCGATGTATCTCTTGAGTTCAGGGTACAAGGATCTTGGGACAGCAATGTAATGTTTCTGCACCGGTGTTGTAACATTAAGTATGATCTTATGTTTGAGGCCCTCTGCGCAACCTACATCTTGGCTACTTGTGCAAAAGGCATGACGTTCTTCATAAAGCATCTGCTGTACACTCCGTTTTTGCTCTTCACTCAAATGATTTCCTAAAGTAACTTTTGGTATCACGTCCGTTGCTAGCTTCTCATCAGCCTCTAATTGTCTTTGACTGGTCCTGTATTGCTCATTCCTTGTAGACTTGAGTTCTTTTGGATTTTCTTCTTTATCCATTTCATTGTGATCTTTGAACTTCAACTCAACTGGTGTAACTGACCTAACAGGTTGCAGAAAACCCATTTCTGTACGTCCTTTCAAAGTGATGTCATGTGCACTAGTGTTAATGACATAAATTCCCACCTTGTCGCAATTTTCCCTTTTCAAAGTGAGCAAAGACTCATGTACTTCCAAACCAGAGGGGAAGCTTAACTCGTTATCGGGCTCAAACAGCATAGGTGTTGGTCGGCTAATTAATCCAACTTTGCTGCGATATGAAATCTTTACTGTACTGCCCTTTGGAACAATAATGCTTTTCTTGCCTGTTCTAACAGTGGAAAATATTGGTGTTGACTTGCTGTCAACAAAACTCACAAAAGCATTTAAATCTGATTGTGACGTCTGAAAGAAACTTGCTGATAGCAGCGAGATAAGGTTAGTCTCATCTGGGACTTGTTGTTGACTTTTGATAAGTTCTTCGATTACATTGTACCCAATAATAGACTGCTCAAGTTCGAATTCAGTTACTAGGTTAGTCTCATCTGGGACTTGTTGTTGACTTTTGATAAGTTCTTCGATTACATTGTACCCAATAATAGACTGCTCAAGTTCGAATTCAGTTACTAGCATTGGTACTTCTACTGCATCTTCATTTGAATTCAGAAGCTTGAAATTCATCTTAACCCACCCACTGTATGGCAATTTTGAACCATTGGCTGTTGTTAGTTCTAACTCAATGTCCTGATCAAGGAGATCTGCGATATCTTTTATCTCTGACTGTGGAAAATGTTTTCTAAGCTCTTTTGAACTCACGATTGATACTTGTGCACCCGTGTCAAAAAGTACGGGTAACTCGATACCATTCATACTGCACTTGATCAAAAATTTTCTACCCACTAGTTTCGACAGTTTTTCTTGTCCTTGAGGTGAGAGATGGCTAACAAAGACTCTATGATCCTCACTGTCACCTCTTCCATGCTCAACCCTTTCAAACTTATCGGAGAGTTCCTGAATCGCTAGACAAATCTGTTTATGATTAGCCCAGTCTTTTATTTGACATGCCTTACTACAATATTTTGATGTTTCACATGCAGCACAAATGTAGTAGTTGTTTTTTGTTGCAAACAACAAAAGTGTAGTTGTTTGCAGCTTATACAATGGTGGGACTCTACATCATTTGCCTTGGCTACTGGCTGTCCCGTGACAGCAGCCGGGGGCAGTTTTCCTGCCACGGTCCATTTCTTTGAGGGCAGTTGTAGGCAAAATGAGCACTATTCCCGCATTTCCAGCAATGAGTACACTTATCTCCAAGGCCTTTTTTGAAACATTCCTTGCATCCCCGACGGTTTTCACGAGGGGGTCTTCCTCTCCCTTGAGATAATATTCTATTATCCTCCCCAGGGGACTGAGCACGACTGCGGCTAACATCTTGTTTTAGAGAGGCCACTTCTGCTTTTATCGCTTGAATTTCGGACAGCAATTTTTGAGCTAGTGGTGTTTCCGCTTCTTTGTCCTTTTTGGGGCTCTCAGCTTTTCCCTTTGTGTTTTGTTCCAAAGAGACTTGTGCAACTTTTGCTTTTCCCTTCTGGCCTATTCCTAATTTGGCATTTCTTTCTGATTCTTCTGCACCAGCGAGGTTTAATTGTTGAATCAATTCAGCATCTGTAACATCTGGGCGTTGTAGGTGTGGTCTCATCCTCGTTCTGAGAGTATTGCTAAGAAGTCCAGTCTCGATTGCATGCAGAAACATGGACTGACACTGACTTGTATCATATTTTAATTTGCTCCCCTCCTGCTTTGATGCAAAAATTATCTTTTCCCGCAAATTTAGGGCACGTAGTAGAAAATTTTGAGGATCTTCCGTTGGTGACTGGGCCAAATTTGCGAGGCTAGCATATAGTTCACTAGCATTTTTCTCTTGATAGTGGGCGCGAATAATTTTCATTAGACTTTCCAACCCCATTTCTCGCATCGCCTCTAAATAATCTTTGAGGGGTATTCCCGGCAGAATGCATTTTATGAGCCCGTCAACCAATTCCTTTTCGGAATAACCGCGCTCTTTGCCACTTTCCACTTGTCTACTGAGGCTCAAATAGGACAACTGTTCTTTTTGCCCCTGGGCCCCCACTGTCCCGAAAAATCTGAATTCCCTTTTTAGAATTGCTTGCAAGCCCCTGTAATTCGTTTCAGATGTCGCCTGTCCATTCAAATCATTATCTATATGAACGTCGCCCCCTGTCCTCATTTTGACATCACTCAATTTATCAGTCAACGCTTCCATCTCTTTTTGTTGTTTTTCCTTTAACAGTGTTACCTCCTTCTCTAAATCCTGTCTAACGGAAGCCAGTGTCTGTTGCTTATCTCCCCCGCTCGCAATTGCGCTCCTTACCTCAGTAATTTGTTTCAGAATATCCTTGAGAAATGCTGCCTTTTCTGTTTCTTTGCATTTCTCCGATAGTTTTTCAATTTCCTCGAAAATCAACTTTACGGTTGCGAAACGGCTTTTGTCCAAATAGGTCGACTCTGAGATTGTCCCTAATTTATCGCAAAATTCATGAAGTGTCTCCTTGCGCATCCCTGTCAGTAGACCATGACATTCCAATAATAAATCATCGATTTCTTCCCCAGTTAGTGCCATTTTGATATTACCAAAATACACGAAAACAGTCTCGACTATCCGCAATGGCACAACTTTAACGGGCAGTTACTTGTCACGTCGTTGTCACAAGAAATGTGGCCCGGTTCGAGTGCAAATCAATTGGCTTCAAGCAATAAACACACAAAACACGACATAGTTTTCCAACACAAGCCTTTATAAAAAAACCAAATACTCTTTACAACTCCTTAACTTGATTCGAACAGTCCCTCTCTCTAACTAACTAAAAAGTCCTCTTCCCGGGGGTAAGTCAGTTCTTGTAATAATGGTAAAAAGGGGGGTTTCCGGAGAGGTCCTCACATTAGCTATGCCCCTCTAAAACCGGGATTGCTGACTGAATAAAACCATACTATTAAACCATTACATTTTGCAATTGGATTGTTAGCTATGCCCCTCTAAAACCGGGACTACTGACTGAAGAAAGCCTTATTATTAAACCCTTATATTTCGCAATTGGATTGTTAGCTATGCCCCTCTAAAACCGGGACTACTGACTGAAGAAAGCCTTATTATTAAACCCTTATATTTCGCAATTGGATTGTTAGCTATGCCCCTCTAAAACCGGGACTACTGACTGAAGAAAGCCTTATTATTAAACCCTTATATTTCGCAATTGGATTGTTAGCTATGCCCCTCTAAAACCGGGACTACTGACTGAAGAAAGCCTTATTATTAAACCCTTATATTTCGCAATTGGATTGTTAGCTATGCCCCTCTAAAACCGGGACTACTGACTGAAGAAAGCCTTATTATTAAACCCTTATATTTCGCAATTGGATTGTTAGCTATGCCCCTCTAAAACCGGGACTACTGACTGAAGAAAGCCTTATTATTAAACCCTTATATTTCGCAATTGGATTGTTAGCTATGCCCCTCTAAAACCGGGACTACTGACTGAATAAAGCCCCAATATTAAACCCTTATATTTAGCAAATGGATTGTTAGCTATGCCCCTCTAAAACCGGGACTACTGACTGAATAAAACCTTACTATTAAACCCTTACATTTTGCAATTGGATTGTTAGCTATGCCCCTCTAAAACCGGGATTGCTGACTGAATATAACCATACTATTAAACCCTTATATTTCGCAATTGGATTGTTAGCTATGCCCCTCTAAAACCGGGGCTACTGACTGAATAAACCCTTACTATTAAACCCTTACATCTCGTAATTGGATTGTTAGCTATGCCCCTCTAAAACCGGGACTACTGACTGAATGAAGCCTTAATATTAAACCCTTACATCTCGTAATTGGATTGTTAGCTATGCCCCTCTAAAACCGGGACTACTGACTGAAAAAAGCCTTAATATTAAACCCTTACATTTTGCAATTGGATTGTTTGCTATGCCTCTCTAAAACCGGGACTACTGACTGAATAAAGCCTTACTATTAAACCCTTACATCCCGCAATTGGATTGTTAGCTATGCCCCTCTAAAACCGGGACTACTGACCAAATAAAACCTTACTATTAAACCCTTATATTTAGCAATTGGATTGTTAGCTATGCCCCTCTAAAACCGGGACTACTGACTGAATAAAATCTTAATATTAAACCCTTATATTTAGCAATTGGATTGTTAGCTATGCCCCTCTAAAACCGGGATTGCTGACTGAATAAAACTATAAATCCCTTAGATCTAGCTGAATTAAACCTTACCATCAAGCCCTTAGATCTCGCAATTGGATTGTTAGCTATGCCCCTCTAAAAGCGGGACTACTGACTGAATAAAACCTTACTATAAATCCCTTAGATCTCGCTGAAGAAAACATTACAATCAAGCCCTTAGATCTCGCAATTGGATTGTTATCTATTCCGCTCTAAAACCGGGACTACTGACTGAATAAAACCTTACTATTAAACCCTTACATTTTGCAATTGGATTGTTAGCTATGCCCCTCTAAAACCGGGACTACTGACTGAATAAACCCTTACTATTAAACCCTTACATCTCGTAATTGGATTGTTAGCTATGCCCCTCTAAAACCGGGACTACTGACTGAAGAAAGCCTTAATATTAAACCCTTACATCTCGTAATTGGATTGTTAGCTATGCCCCTCTAAAACCGGGACTACTGACTGAATGAAGCCTTAATATTAAACCCTTACATTTTGCAATTGGAATGTTAGCTCTGCCCCTCTAAAACCGGGACTACTGACTGAAGAAAGCCTTAATATTAAACCCTTACATTTTGCAATTGGATTGTTAGCTATGCCCCTCTAAAACCGGGACTACTGACTGAATAAACCCTTACTATTAAACCCTTACATCTCGTAATTGGATTGTTAGCTATGCCCCTCTAAAACCGGGACTACTGACTGAAGAAAGCCTTAATATTAAACCCTTACATCTCGTAATTGGATTGTTAGCTATGCCCCTCTAAAACCGGGACTACTGACTGAATAAAGCCTTACTATTAAACCCTTACATCCCGCAATTGGATTGTTAGCTATGCCCCTCTAAAACCGGGACTACTGACCAAATAAAACCTTACTATTAAACCCTTATATTTAGCAATTGGATTGTTAGCTATGCCCCTCTAAAACCGGGACTACTGACTGAATAAAATCTTAATATTAAACCCTTATATTTAGCAATTGGATTGTTAGCTATGCCCCTCTAAAACCGGGATTGCTGACTGAATAAAACTATAAATCCCTTAGATCTAGCTGAATAAAACCTTACCATCAAGCCCTTAGATCTCGCAATTGGATTGTTAGCTATGCCCCTCTAAAAGCGGGACTACTGACTGAATAAAACCTTACTATAAATCCCTTAGATCTCGCTGAAGAAAACATTACAATCAAGCCCTTAGATCTCGCAATTGGATTGTTAGCTATGCCCCTCTAAAACCGGGACTACTGACTGAAGAAAGCCTTAATATTAAACCCTTACATTTTGCAATTGGATTGTTTGCTATGCCTCTCTAAAACCGGGACTACTGACTGAATAAACCCTTACTATTAAACCCTTACATCTCGCAATTGGATTGTTAGCTATGCCCCTCTAAAACCGGGACTACTGACCAAATGAAACCTTACCATCAAGCCCTTAGATCTCGCAATTGGGACGTTAGCTATGCCCCTCTAAAACCGGGATTACTGACTGAAAAAAATCATACTATTAAACCCTTATATTTTACAATTTGATTGTTAGCTACGCCCCTCTAAAAGCGGGACTACTGACTGAATAAAACCTTACTATAAATCCCTTTGATCTAGCTGAATAAAACCTTACTATAAATCCCTCAGATCTCGCTGAATAAAACCTTACCATCAAGCCCTTAGATCTCGCAATTGGGACGTTAGCTTCGCCCCTTTATAACCAGGACTACTGACTGAATAAAGCCTTAATATTAAACCCTTACATTTTGCAATAGACCCTTTGCCAAATTTCGTCACATGACTTCTGAAAGAGAGGCAAGAAAACGAAAACGAGAAAGTGGTTGTTCCAAACGCTTCGGCCTATCACCATCAGTTACGAAAGATCTTTTCATTCCGTTTCTGAGTGTTTGATTATAGTTTAAGAAGTATTTATGGATGCGTTCAAGGATTTGCTGCCTAAAGGAAAGGATGTTGAATGCTTTGAAGATTTGGCTACGCTCACTGTGGCCGAATTAAAAAGGATATTGCAGCGGTACAAAGAGAAGACAGGGGGCATCAAAGCTGATCTTGTTCTGAGAGCCTACGCTATCTTCTGCCGTGCAAAAAAGTCTGAAGAACAAACTGATGAGCTACCAGATGAGTCTTTTTTGTATTGCAATGAAAACGATTTCACCTACGAGTCTTTGCACCAGCAGACTAAACATCTGCCGTGGTCATCCGATCTGCGCGGTACGCCGGTATTCACTTTCCTGCAACTTTATGAGTACTTGGTCATCAGGACGTCAAAGTTCAAACATGTTCTTTTAAAAAGCACTTCATACAAGAAGTTGAAAGCCTTTCAATTCTTCTATGAAGGATTTATTAGAAAGGTGGATGTTGCAAAAGATGCCATGTTTACATATTTTGATGTACGTGTCAAAGCATCAATGAAGAAAAACCTTTATAAAGTAATGGTAAAGCTGTCAAGTGTGTCTGGTGATGTTTGTGCTGCTGCATGTTCTTGTCCTGCTGGCATTGGTCTTGGTGGTTTTGGCAACTGCAACCATGTTGGTGGTATTCTTTTTGCCTTGGAAGATTTCAATAGACGTGGCTTACAAGAGTTTCCGTCTCCTATATCTTGCACATCACGGCTTTCTGCTTGGAATGTTCCGAATTCCTCTTCCCTTGCTTCTTTTGCTGCAGCTCCCATAGAGGATGTTGTTATTAAGAAAATAATGTTTGGGAAAGATGGTGCAATGTTAAACAACCCCTCTTACAAATCATTTGATCCAAGGGCACCCGCTGATAAAGTTCTTGATGAACAGAAATTGGAAGTTTTAAAATTGAAATTGGCAAAATGTGTCCCTAACAGTGCTTTCTTTGGCTTTTATCAACCTCCTTCTTCTCCTGCAATGGACATAGCAACCTTATCTTCAAATTTGCAAATACTTTCCTCGAATGAATCTATAGCCTTTAATGAATGCTATGACATATCAAGTCCTTCCTTTAAACAAATGATGGAAATCCACTGCAAGAACCTATCCCTTAACTCTGAAGAAATTGATAACATTGAAAAGAGAACACGTGGACAATCATCAAATGAGCAGTGGAAAAGGGAACGCATGTACCGAATTACATCTTCCAATTTTTATCTTGCTGCAGTTAACACTATAGAGCCATCTTCAAAGTTGAAAGCCATGTTTTATAAACCATTTTCTACATCTGCAACCAGGCATGGTAACAAATATGAAAGGCATGCTAGAGAACTCTATACCATATTCCTCAAAGAAAAAGGTATCAATGCTCATGTCTCTGATGTTGGCTTAATTCTATCATCTAGCTGTCCGTACCTTGGTGCATCTCTAGATGGCATTGTCACACACAAGAATGAGAAGTGGGGGCTGGAGATAAAATGCCCTTTTTCAAAATTTAATTGTACCTTGAAAGAAGCTGTTTTGGGGAAAAAGTTCTTTTTGCAGAATGTTGGTGGCAATATAAAGCTGAAGCGGCAACATCCTTATTATTTCCAAATTCAAGGCCAAATGTTCTGTTCAGGGTTGAAAACAATAGATTTTGTTGTTTGGTTTGGCAACAGCGAGCCTTTATTTGTTGAGACCATTTGGTTTGATGTAGATTTTGTGACAAGCTACATGTTACCACGCTTAGAGTTCTTTTATTGTAGAGCAGTTCTCCCGGAATTATTTACAAAGCGCATAAAGCAAGGATTGAAACTGTATTTGCATGGTGGTTGGACAAATTTTCATTAGTAATGAATAATTCCTTTTTAAATGAAAATACAAGAAAGAATAATACCATTAAAGTAATAAAGATATTAGTAACACAAATGGTACAAATCATATTATATAATTACAAAAAAGTGAAGTATATATATAAAAATAAGTATAACTGTAAGAGTTTTGTTTTGACTAGAAAAATGCATTCTGCTCTTGTCAATTCAAATCCCAACCATCTCAAATAACAGACTATGTCAATCAGAAGTTTCTTTCCTTGTGAGCTTGAGTTGAAAAAAGCAAAATGCATTTATCAAATTTACCAAAATATAATATATGCATATATAAAGACATGTTGCATTGTGACTTCATTTTTCTTGTTCATTTTTCATGTACAACACAAAAACCTCTTTGATTATCAATTTATTTTATGTATATAAACCCATGTCTTTATATATGCATATGTCATCATATTATGTATACCTGTAGAAGGTGGTTATTGGCTTTTAATAATTAATTTATATAAAAAATGTTTTATATTGACATGATAATAGTGTTTTCTTTAGGTTACAATTCCTTTTATTTCATATTCATTTATCTTTTGGATTAACTAAAAAAGGTAAAAAGTTTGTCAATAAACAACAAACAGTGAATATCTGATCAGCCACAGGAGATAAAGACAAAGGTAAAACACCATCAAGTATATGGTAAGTCTTGACTCGACCAATGGCCCTTTCAACATGAATTCGCACAGATGCAATGCATGCTGTATCTTCAACTTCCTGTGCAGTGAGCTGTGCTCTTGTCCCCTTAAATGGTGGGATATTGAGGCTAACACCAGGAGGTAGAATGTCTTTGATGTCAAAGCCACGATCTGCCATTATATTATCTCCATTCTCCAATAAAGCCAAGACACCTGATTTCTTTGTGATTTCTTTATCAGATACTTTACCAGACCACAGTTTGGAAACAAATGTGATGCATCCAGCAGGTGAAATGCCAACAAGAACTTTCCAAGTGTTATGATTCTTATATTCAGACCATGTCTGTGATTGTGATTTCATAGAAGATGGAACTTCTATAAAAATTTCTGTGCAGTCAATGATTATCCTTGTGTTAGGGAAATCTTTGAACTGTGCAGGCATTTGTTGGCGAACAAGTTCTTGAGATGGAAAGGGAAATAAGATGGGCAATTCATGATAAAGGAAACATATCCAAGTAGTAAAGATCCGAGAAACACAAGCAGTTGAAACTCCGAATCGATCAGCCAAATCAGTAACAAACAAACCAACTTTTAGTCTCATTAAAACAAGGATGAACTCTTCAAGATGTGTAAGAGAACGTTTGCGGCCACGTTTGGATTTGCCACGATCAGATTTCTGAGAATTTCCAGAAGAGTTTCCATGCCAGTAATGCATCTGGTTTAACTTGGGCTCAAAATATTCAAAACATGCCAGCAAAGAAGAAAAGTTAGGATAACCAGTATAAAATTTCACAGCTGAATTATCTTCTTTCAACTTCTCAATAGATAAAAGAGATTTTTTCATGTCTGCCAACTTAGACTCCAACTTTGTTACCTCATTATTTAGGGATTGAATTTCAGCCATTAAATTATCTGCTATTGATTTTAAATTTTTTGAACCTAAAAAAACTTTCATTATTTCATTGCACATCTGGCCATCAGTTTCATCAGTTTCTGCTTCTTGAGGAAGATAAACAGGAGAGTTGACAAATGAAAATTCTGTTTGGGTTGACATGGAGCAAACACCAGAAACAATTAATTCTTCTTCGCAATCATGACCAGCCATAGCAAACTCATGATCATTATCATCATCTTCAGAAGACTCATTCAAAGCAAAAGAAGTCCCAAGGCCCAATCCCAATGAACGGCAAAGAGGAGGCTTCCTAGGCTTGGTTTGAGCTGTTGCAACACTGCTAGAATACAGATTTAAAGATGGCTTTGCACCAGATACCAAACGTCGCTTGTTTGGATTCCTTTTAATATCTGCGTCGGAAAAATGCTTCTCACAGAGAAATGTAGATGTGGTTACTTTAAAACCATCAAGTCCGTCGACTCTTTTAATTAAATTACACCAGCGAGATTTCTCTGGATTTTTCTGCGGAAATCGAAAAAAATGTAGGCCACTTGGGGTTCCGTCGGTTTTGTAGAATGTATTGTAACATCCGTACGCCGCACATTGACGCCCGAGAGATTTTATTTTCTTCTTCCCAGCACTTTCCGCCATGAAAACGTATTTGATAACCTTAGACCAGTGAGAACTTCAATATAAAACGATTTATTTGGTTTGCTTGCAACGAGATTTACTCAACTATAGACTGCCGGAAGAAATTGGAACAACCACTTTCTCCTTTTCGATTTTTGGCCTCTCTTTCAGAAGTCGTGTGACGTAATTTGGCAAAGGGTCTATTGGATTGTTAGCTATGCCCCTCTAAAACCGGGACTACTGATTGAATAAAGCGTTAATATTAAACCCTTACATTTTGCAATTGGATTGTTAGCTATTGAGCTTCAAGATGTTTTCGAGCCTGCAGATGAAGCTTGTTCTTCGGAAGATGAATACGGTAAAAAGAAAACCATTTCGTCCTATGAGATGCGTAAATTAAAGGAGTTTCGTAGCTGGGAAATGATGAAAGATGGGTTAGCAAGGAAACGCTTAGACAGATATCATCTCAGTCAAGAAAAGTTTTGCGTATTCTGTTTGGAAACATCTGCAGTGGAACCAAATATCGCTGTCTATAGATGTTTGGACTGTGGGTATGACCAGTTTTATTGTCGTTCATGCGCGTTCTCTTTACACAGTAAGAGAATTAGATTCCATGTTTTGGAGGAATGGAAGGTGAGTAGCCAGTTTAAACCCTTTTAGCCAGTAAAAACTTTTACAATTTTCTTCCTTTATTATTGTTGACAACTGGAGCAAAATCCTTTACTTTTAAGAGTCACGAATGAAATCAATGAATTAGTAGAAAATCAGACTATAATTTTTTGCAGAATGTATTTTTTTCCCAGTTTGCACATCTTTAGCAAGAGGCTGTTGTTTTACTTCATACAACTGTTATTTTGGAAAGATTTTCCAATATCTGTGACTACTGGAATTTTGTGAACCCCTTTTGAGGAGGCTGCTTGCCAGTTTTTTAAATGATTTGTAATTTCGCTAATTGCAGTTCTCAGGGGCGGATGCAGAAAAAAAATCTGTCATTCGCAAAGTTTCGACCACGCCTATATGATCATGCCCAAAAAAATCAGTCAAATTTTACTATAGTCTTAGAATCGAAGTTTTCCACTTAAAGATGTATTTTTCCTCATATTAAGTTTTAGGATTAGGAAACCAACAACACATTTTGTCAAACAGCATAGATTAAATAAAATATTGAGGCTCAAAGGTTGCGAAATTTAAGGATAAATATTAAGAATAACAGCCAGGTCTGGATTTCATTGACAATTTGGCATTTTACTTATTGAGTGAACAAGAAAAGAGATCTCTGGAAAAATTTTGAGAAACACTCATCAAGCTTTTGTTGTGTTGGCATCTTTTGTTTCCTACATGGCTTTTGTGGTGGAAAAACAACAGCAAAGATTTGAAATGTCCTCTTAATGATGATTTAATGGCAAATCTAGGCACAGAATAACAAATTGTCAAGAACAAATAGGATGAGCTAAAATAAGGGTATATTAGGTGTGTGTATCACCCCTTCTCAGGGAGAAAAACTCATGAAAAACATTTTATGTCACTCATTTGAAAAACAGCCATTTAAAGAAAGGAATCTTAGCTCTATTTATACAATTGTATCATTTAACAATCAAATACTGTGTTTAGTGTAGACATTTTCAATGCAATATCCACCCAAATGTTTGACTTCAACACCAAATACTTTAGGGGCTCAGAGCTTTTCTGTTATTTATTTTGTGCATTTGCCTTTCTATCTAAACTGTTATGTGATGCGCCTTAAAACAGGGCCAAAAATACAAGTTAGGTCAATACACATCATACAATTTTAGTATTTGCAGGTGTTGGTAAAACAGCAAATGTAACAGAATTTAAAACAATTCATTGTCTTTCCATAACAAGAACATCATAAATATATTACAAATTTGAAATGTACATCAAACAAAGTCAGCAATGGCAAAGGAATGAGGCAAACATGGTAACTTTTACTATATGGATTTATATAAGATATTTACTTGGCAGAACCAACTTGCTGTGAATTTCTTATTAATAATGTAGTAATTCCCCCATTAGGATCATTCCATTGATTGCACTTATTTACTACCCATATTTACATTTATTTACACACACAATTACATAGAAAAGAAAACTGTCAGTCACTTGCAAATTCATAAACAAAAATTAATTAATCCTAAGGGTATTTCAGAACCAAGAGTTTCAAATGGTATACTCTTATAGTGTGGAAACCAAAAATAATTTTACTAGTTTTAGAGGTTAAACTCGCGAAAAGGGTTACCATATTCATGGCATGACCAGACAAATAAAATCAAAATACTATTACAATTTCTCATTTACAAATATGGCAGTCTAGATTTTTCCAAAACTGACAGCATAAAATTAACAAGAAAAGAATATGCCGTAGAAAATGCAATATCTTATTTAAAAACAAATCCCCAGCACAGTCAAACTATCTACATATTTGTGATAATAACAACATCTATCAAAAAAATATCTAGAACTCTAAAATTCAGCATATTCAAATTCATCAAGATATTTATAGAACAGCATCATTCGTCAGAATGCTACATCATCATTATCAAGATGTACCTGACTTGAACCCTAAAAGTTCTGATTGACAGCCTGCATAAAAATGGCTAATTACCTTAAAAAGCATCACGTATTCTTCAAAATATCATTTGAGTCTGAATCCCTGTCTAAATAACGTCCTCCATCATAAAAATGAAAACATAGCAAAAATTTTGGATCAACAATTTTAGGTCCAACTGAACTGTCCTCGCATATTGCCATCTATCAAATTCCATCCATCAACCAAAATCTTCGACAAACTTTGAACATCTTCATAAGAAATCCGCTGATTCAAATTAAAAATCATCTTATATTTGACTCCTTTCACTCACTCTGAAGTACAATTGCTGCTCTTCTGCAAGCAAATGTCTCCACAGCTTTCCAACAACAATCATGGCCGTTGATCTGGAAGCGAGGTTTCAATACGCTCCTTAACCGGAAATCGCATCTGATTGGTTAACTGTGCCGACCCTTGGCGACGTGGTAGCAACCGATCTGAGTTGAATGTTTACATACGGCGTTTCACTGTGATCGAAGATAAAATCAAATTCTAACGTCGAAATTCACAAGTTTTATGTAGTTTTCTTGTGTCATTTATCATCACTAGTGGCAAGCAGAACTTTCGTTTAATATTTGTTGTATCACATAATTCTTATCAGAGGGCCTGAATAAAGTGAAACGATTATGCCCAAATCCTGTGCTGTTTATCAATGTAGCGCAACATCTGAAAATGAGAAGAATCGTTCATTCCACCAGTTTCCAAAAGATCCTAAACTGAGACAAGCATGGATTGCCAGAATACGTAGAGAAGGTTTTACTCCTAGTGCTTCGTCGTATGTATGCTCCTTCCATTTCTCTGAGGAGGATTTCAATAAATGCAGCTCAAGCACGACTCCTCGTGAGTTCCAGAAAAAGACCCTCAAGAAAGGATCAATCCCCTGTTGGAATCTTAGAGGAGCTGAAGGAGATCAGAGATTGTCTACTCGCACAACGCTTGTCTCACAACGTTCAAGGTGCCCGGAGAACCCAGCTACCTCTATCGAACTTCCCTTGCCTATACCTCAGCCTTCAGCAGCATCGGTTTCAATGGAATGGGATAATAATGAGCCAGCTACTTCAAATGCACATCAAAATCAACTAGAGGTGCTGAAAAATGCTCTTTCAATTGCCAGCAAGCAGGTAGCAGCTTTGGAAATTGCTGTATTTAAATATGACGTTATGAGTGCTGAGGACATTAAAAATTACACGGGTTTAGAGAAGACAAAATTCGATGCAGTAAAAGAGATGATCGATCGTTTCAAGCCATTAAATTATTGGACTGGAAAAGCTGTTACCAGTATTAGTGGTTCTGATCAACTCTTGATATTTTTAATGAGGCTGAAGCTTGATCTTCCATATTTTGATTTAGCAAGAAGGTATTCTGTAAGCACAACAACAATACAAAACATTTTTTTAACATACTTGAATATTTTTCATGAAACATTTTTTACTGGATGCATGGACAAGATGCCATCATTAGAGAAAAATAAATGTACCATGCCAGCATCTTTTGCAGACATACCAAATTGCAGAACATTGATAGACTGCACAGAGCTTTTTATTGATACACCAAGAAAGGACCTGGAAGCAGCAGCTGTAAGCTACAGTAATTATAAGCATAGGCTCACTGCTAAGTATCTGATAGCAGTTGCCCCTAATGGAAGTATTACTTTTGTAAGTGATGGCTACCCAGGCAGCACAAGTGACAAAGTGATTACAGATCAGTCACAAGTCATATCAAGTTTGAAGGTAGGGCTTTCATTAATTTCGAAAGTCTTAGGGAAGAATGCTAACCAAGAACATCCAATTGTCAAAGACCATTAGTGAAGCTAAAATAAATTACAGCCAGAGATGTGGCAGTTTCATTAATAAAATAGTTGCAAGTCTAAACAATTTGACTCAGGTCTGAACAATTTGACTGAATTATCTCAATAAGCCTGGGTACTGGGAACACCAACATACATACATTATTTCCCTCAGCCTAATATTGCTATCTAAAGTCAAAACTTTTGTAGCATTTACCTGACATAGACTTCAATTAATTGGTGTGTTTAATGTTTAACTGGTCTCATAAGGTTTCATATTTGTAACATTATCTTCTATCATTTCATCATCCTGTGGTTCTTTTCATTTAAATAAGTTAGTCAATTCAATTTTCTGGCAGGCTGGTGACCTAATATTGGCTGACAAAGGCTTCATGATTCATGACCTTGTACCAAAGGGAATATTTCTAAATCTTCCACCTTTTCTTTCTGGCAAGAAACAGTTCTCCAAAGAAGAAGCCATGTTTTGCAAGAAAATAGCCAGTCAGCGCATACATGTGGAGAGAGCAATAGAAAGATTAAGAAATTACAAAATACTTAATTTGATAACAACAAATTTGAGACCTTGGTGTAACAAACTTGTGCAGACATGTGCTGCTTTGGTAAATTTGCAATCAGCAATAATTAATGGTGTTTTTGATAAATACATATTTCTTGTTGCTAAAAAATGAATCAACAGATTTCATAAACTAGTTAATACATTGTGGTAAAAATTCATTAGCATAAAAATCTTTTAACTTTGGAATGTTAGTCTCAGCCCATGATGTGCTACGGCTAACATAAATAACTTTTATTTCCCTTGTTGTCCAAACAACAAAATGTGCCCAGGTAGCATCTGCAGCTATCATTTCACCTTGAACTTGGTGCCAGTAACTGTGACTTTCATTGAGAGTTGCATCCAGTTTAAGGTAAAAGCTTGTAGATCTTTTATTTTCCACCTCTTCCTTGATAATCTCTGCAACTGTATGGTCACGATGTTTCCAAGGGCATTTAATTTCCAATACACCAACATCATTGGTTGCAACATCCTTTAAATTTATTATTCCATCTGGGGAACACCCAAGAAAACCACAAGGTAATAATATTAAACCAACAGACTTTACAGTGTTACCTGTCAGTTTAATATATTCTTGAAGAGCTTTCTCTTCATGCATCTGTCCCCACATTATCGAGTCCTTGCCAGCCAATGAATATTCACCTTTAAGTGTTTTGAATAGAGATGGTGGATATGGTTTACCATTCAACACATGTCGTTCATATGCTGCAAGAACCAGCCCAAAACTGCTTCCTGTCAGGCGAAGGTACCTGTGTTTTCCCCATAAACTTGACTTGTACTGGTCTTTTGTGTTCTCAGCTAGCCAAGCAATTTGCTCCCTTGAGACTGAACACTTTTCAAAACACTTATTTTGGTCTTCTTTAAATAGCCCAAGTAGCTGAAAAATTTGCACCGGTTCACATAAAGATTCCCCATCCAATAATGTACTTGGGGGTTCTGGGCCAATGATCCATTGCAAAGGACAGGCAGCTGATCTACTTAGCTGGTTAAAGAGAAATTGTTTATCTGCCTCATCTACTTTTCTAGAAGCTGCTTTGTAATCAGGCCTTGGATGGGGGAATAAATCAGAGATTGTTCTCACCTCCTGTTTAGCCGCTTTTTTAGGACGAGCAATCCATGAGTTTGGGAGGTCTGTCTTTGAGAATCCCTTCTTATTGACATAAATAGATGCTGCTGCCATATGGCTACAGATCCATTTTCCACGGGGGCATTCGCAAATCGCCTGCTTGATCCCACCAGATCCATCAATCGTCAAGGAAACGCTGTAGCTTTTGTCCTTCATTGTTGCTCTGACCTTTGCATTGACTGTCAATTCATCGATTCTTAAGTCCAAAACAAAGTCAGACTTGAATTTCAATTCACCTTTCCTGACAGTATTTGTGTCATCTTTAAAAAAATCCAAGATTTCCGCTAACGTGATAATTTCAGTATCCATTATTCTCAAATTGAACAACCAGCGTTTTGAAGCAAACAAATTGGGAAAGTAACAAAGTTTAACGATTTGACACAAATTCTGCTTGCCTTGAGCGATAATAAGACTTTAATGATGATTAATGACACAAGAAAACTACATAAAATTGAGAATTTCGACGTTAGAATTTGATTTTATCTTCGATCACAGTGAAACGCCGTATGTAAACATTCAACGCAGATCGGTTGCTACCACGTCGCCAAGGGTCGGCACAGTTAACCAATCAGATGCGATTTCCGGTTAAGGAGCGTATATGCTCACTTTCCAAGGTTCTCTCCCTAAACTGGCTACCGAACATAGTTTCCATCTACCTTCGCCACATTCGCAAAAAATTCCCATATACATTTCCTATTGGTTTTCAGATGGCTAAATAACATAGCTGGACTGACATTCGCACAAATTTTTGGCATACATTTTTCAGTACTACTTCGTTTGCGCACGCATGCCTAATATATTATAATTCCATTCGACATTGGCATCAAACCTTATTGGTGCTCTGTGAATTTATGCGTAAAAGGGGGAGCCCTCTTTCGAATATATCATCTCTAAATCACTAAATCACTTTTTTTATAATCTGGCCATTTCTAGTACAATATTCACAATGCTAAAATATATTTACAGACAATTACAAAAAGACATGTGGAAAACTGTCTTTCGCCAGTGCGAATGTTGCGAATGTCTGGATCCGCCCCTGGCAGTACTGTATTGAAATATAATCAGTATTTAACTCTGTCCAGACTAGGGGGGGCACAAAGTGCCCCCCTAGTTGGTTTTCTTTCATAACTTCAGGAGTCTCAAAGCAATACCCCTCAGACCTCCTGACTTTTAGTTTTAACCTGTCTGACACATGTTCATATAAAAAGAATTTTTTTTGTTAATCAGGGGGTTGTGTAGGGGCGTTTTCAAAACTAGTCAAGTAAAAAAAAGTTTAATCTACCACGGATTCGCAACAAAAGTAGATATATTGATGAAAATTAGTATCTAGGCATTAATTTGTGCTCTTTTCATGATTCTGACCAGAAAATATAAATTGAATATCCTTTTCTATGATTTTTTTGCTGCGCATGCGCACACATTTGTTGACATATTTATAGGTATTACATTAATAAAACTGCAAGTTTAGATTAATTTGTCTCCTAAGGCATAAAAAATGAACTTAAACATGACATTTGGCTGTATCGATCATTTTGTTTTATAGAAAGAACTATAGCCAAATACAAAATATGTTGCGTTCTTGTGTTGGAGCGTTAATAATTTTGAGAAATAACATTAAAATTGTGTCATTCTTCTTGTTTCTATTAGAAAATGCATCAAATTTGCTTATTTTAAAATCTAAGCCCGATGCTTTGGAATTAATGAATATTTTAAGATTTGCTAAAATTTTCTAAATTTTTGCTCCACCCGGCCACCATTATGATGACGTCATCGTTAAACCACGAGACTTTCTGCCACCCCCCCCCCCCCTAGTCTCCCGAAAATTTCAAAAAGCCGAGTCTGGATAGGGTTAAAGTCATGCACCCAGTTTGGATATTTATTTGGGAACACATGTTTCTCTAGGACCAATCATTTGTTCCTGCTCTTGTCAACAGTGATGTTCTCATTGACGAAAACCACACCCAGTGTCACCATCAAGTTAAATATATAACATGCATTGATTACTATGGTAACGAAATACAAGATATCTGGACAAAGATGGATGTTTATTGCAGGGCCTAGATGTCACTTGTTTGAAAGTGGGGGAGGGGGGGAGGCTAGCAAAAGTAGGGGGCCATGGCTTTATCCCCTTTTACTCTACTAGCTACTAACTACTAGCTTCGTAAAAAAGTGGGGGGGCATGGCCTCTCCGGCCCCCGTGGGCTCTGTATTGTATTTTAGCAGTACAATAGAGAATTAAGCTATCAGCTTAAGCTGTAGTACCTTTTTCAATGCTCACCAATGGATTTAGTATTTCCTGTTGCACTAGTAGAATTTAGTATATATATTGTAATCATCATAGTTCTCAAAAACTAGACGATACATGTATAGCAACAATATTTAGATATAAAATTGAGCTAATTTACACCAAAGTAATTGCTATTAGTGGGACCAAATTGCTCACCATAAAAGCTTTAACTTTTGTGCTCAAAGAGGGTAGTTTTGATATTTCCCCGACTGGAAAATTCGTTTCATGGGCAGACAAGTTCATTTTAAAAATTTGCAAATTTTAATGTTATTTAAATATGTAAAAGTTAATACACTAGGGTATCAAAAGTATTGCTCGAAATGGCGGCACTTTTTGTCAAGTTTTTGGCAATGCAAAACATTTGAATGCATTTATTGGGTGAAATAGGTGCATATTAAAGTAAACTTTGGCAGGAAAAGTTCACAAATTTTGCTGATGCTATAGGAAACTTGGTTAGAGATGTATAAATTACCCAAAAATTTTGTTTTTAAAAATGTGGACCATGCCTGAGGAAATAAAATTGTCAAATGAGAGGCGAGTTGCTACAAAATAGTTACGGGGAAGTGGTCTTTAGATTTTGGGAAAATGTTGACCAAGTTAGATGCAGCTACACAACAGCTACGGGAAGTCAAAAAGATGTCCCAAGAGTGGTACAGTAGAAAAGAGACCGAGATGTAGGTGACCAAAAAAAAGTTGATGTCAGAGGGGAAAGAATTGGTCTGTTTTATTTTGCTGACTTTACACCAAGGGACAGTAAAAGGCATGGAGCTTGACACTGTGCAAATCGGTCCACAGAAAATATAATGTTCTGCACAAATACAAAAGAAAAAGATACCTGAATAAACTGAAACTACTTTTATAAAGATTTATTTCCATACAAAAGAAATTAACGCTTTGGCATAGCGAGAATCAACTCAAATTTTTAACATCACTTAAAAAGTTTGCCTTTAAATGAAAAACGCTACAAACCAAGATCCAAATGGTCACCCTAAAGCCAGATAATCATTAGTTGTAAGAACTTTCCAGGCCTAATACGAAACTTCACAAGAATACGTTGCCCAAATATATGGATCTATTTCAAGGAGGCTTTTTGCGGTTTCAAAAGTTTGCGGCTACCCATCAAAATGTTTAAATTTGAAACTGTTAAAAGACGTTTGCCACTGTTATTTTTCAAACAAGTGCTCCAAATAGATTGAAGTTTTGATTGGTGGTTGTTTTGTTTTCAACCAATTGCCATTCGCCAATTAAAAACAAAATTAATTTGCATATCAATAGCTTTGGATCATTCATGCGCCATTTCTCCTCCTTCGAGGTGGTGCAATACTTTTGATACCCTAGTGTATATTAGTTTTTATTATACCATTTGATTTGCACAAAATCTTTCAGGCAAACAAAACAAAACACCGAGTTAAGCATTTGTCTTTAATTCTTTAACTCATACTATATTTAGGAGGAGGGGTGGGGTCTCTTCAGAGTAACATGGTCAGCGTAATAAAGAAAGCCATTGCACTTAAGTAACTTCTAGCTCTATTTCACCATATAAGAAACCTTTGGTTGCAAAGAACTAAAATTATGCCTTGAGATCTAAAAATATGCTATGAGAACTAATTTTCTTTTTCACTATGAGTATATATTCCTTTCTAGCAAAAGAAAAAAGTGGAAAAAAACAGTAGTCACACTCAAATGTTATCAACTAAAATCGCCCCCCAAACCCCCTACCCTTAGGTGCCTAATTGCCGCCCCCCCGCTAATTAATTTTTGAAAATTTTTCAACACCCCCCCCCCCCCGGTGCCCTTATCAGGACCCCATCCGCCAATTGATTTTGGCACTTTTGTGTTAATATCTGTAGTGAAATAAGCGCAATACAAGCTAAATATTGTCGATTATAAATAATAGCTATATAATAGTGAAATAAGCGTACTGATTTTAAGTGCATTTTGAAAATTCAGTATATGTAACTTCATAATTTACAACCCCCCCTGATAATCAGAACCCCCCTCCGTTTATTCCGACCCCGGCAATTAGGCAACTGAGAGTACTGGTTTTAATGCCAAGTTTTATTTCTGTATGTATTGCTGGGTGCAAGGGTATGCATTAGTACGACCATGTCCTTTAAAAAAGGTGCTTTTGAAACTTTGGATGATAATTTATTTGAGGGAACGCCCATAAAGTGGTAACGCATTTTGATTACTTAAAGCAAAAACGAAAATCTTTTAAACCATCTAGTCAGTTTATGTGCTTTGAAGTGGGCATGTGCATACCCGTTGAACTATAATCATGGAAGGGGGGGATTCAAAGTGTTTCCAGCCGAATGTTTTTTAGGGTAGGGTTTCGTATCAAAAATGACATAACAAGTTGATATAAGCACTCTGTGGGAAATATTTTAAAGTAATCATTTGATTGTCCAAACATGAATTAATGTGAATTGATAAATATAAATACGGTAAGCAGATAATAACAGTTTAATTAGGATAATAACTTTAAATTTGAGGGGCAAAAACAAAAATGGATTTACAACTGTACCGCTTTGAAACTTGATCTTAAGTAAAAGAAATATTTATGTAAGTTTTTGGATATCTAATAGAATTGTTCAATTCGACGTCATGGAAAATGGTTTTTTAGAATTTTTGTAATAAGCAAGGAGGGTGGGTTTTTCCATCAATTTTGTACAATAAGGGTGTCAAATTAAAATGACCCGGTGGGAATTCTAAAAAAATACGTTGAAATGGGGGGTGGGGGTGTAAATAATGGTCATTTATTGGATAGCAGAATATGGAAATGGCAGCCCAAAAGCGCTCATTTTCATTTGTATAGCTAATATTGAAGGTACTGTGTTTATCAGCTTACCATTGCATTTTGTTCCTGGTTCATTGTCTTTTTTTGAAGTTTAATTAATATGGGAGAGTGATAACTAAATGGGAGGAGGTCTTTTTAATAATTTCCTTTATCTGAGGGGCTCATTATAAAATGCTATTGAAGGGGAAAAATTTCAAATTATGTAATTTGAACCAGCCCACCCCC